CAGAGGCTGAACTACAACATAAAAATGAACGGCTGGCAGGAAAGTTGACATTTTAAACCTTAATAAAAAATCGATACAGGGCTTTAGAATATYDATACAGTATCGGGAAATGAAATATCGCGATATTTCAGTGTATCGATATTTTCTTACACCCCTACCCACCACAGTGGCGGGTGCTAATTTGCACCCCTGGTGATGAGGTGCATAGGTGACTTCATTGTTMATCTACATCATCTGCATTTTTTCTGAATATGTCTGTATGTTAACAAATAAAAGGTAATTAGTTTGAATCAGTGTTAATTTCCTGTTTGTCGTGCAGGAAGAGATGCACAGCTGTGGCATCAGCTTCCAGCAGTACACGGGGGACGACTGCTGGGTGAACCTGAGCTACACCATCGTGGCCTTCACCAAGCAGATGATGAGCTTCCTGGAGGAAGGCCTGAAGCTTTACTTCCCCGAGCTGCACATGGTGCTGCTGGAGAGCCTGCGGGAGATCATCCTGGTGGCCGTGCAGCACGTGGACTACAGCCTGCGCTGCGAGCAGGACCCAGAGAAGAAGGTCTTCGTCCTGCAGAACGCCTCCTTCCTCCACGACACGGCGCTGCCGGTGGTGGAGCGACGCTTCGAGGAGGCCGTGGGCAAGCCGGCCAAGCAGCTGCGAGACCTGAGGAAGAGCACGAGGTCGGTGCGGGTGAACCCGGAGAGCACCACATCCTTGGTGTGAGACCGACGGGATCTGCTGCGGCTCCTGAAACAAAGGATGTGGAGAAACAGGTCTGAGCTAACCACAACACTAACTACTGGTTCTTTCAAAGCTAACGCACAGGAAATGAATGCATCATGGAAAACACTCACAATAACAGCAGAGTGCTTAAAGCTCATATTTTCTGCTCTAAAAACACTTTGCAAGAGTTTCATGTTTATATATTAAAAAGTGAAAACATCTGTTTGCAAACAGCTGCTTTTATCTTCACAGGTTTATTCACTGAGACTATTTCTGCTGTTTGAAAGAAAATACTCTAAACACAACACACTGTGACGTTTGAGTGTTTTGATTTRGTCAAACCCAGAGCGCACAATCACGTAAACTAATGAAAGAGATGACTGATGAAACATGCACTCAGATGTTCTTCATCAGTCAAATTATGTACGATTTTCTTTGACTGTAACATAAAATCAAATAAAAGTCTTTCAGGGCACGTTCAGTCTGTTTCTTTTTTTATTAGAAACACTGGAAAAACTGTAAGTGTTGTGATTTTTCTACAACTTTTTGTTTATTTGTTTAAATTGTTTATTCATTTCATTTAAAACCAATAATTTTACACATTAAAAACAAAAGATAAACACAACATACAGTAACAAGTTATATACCTAGTACTTAACAAGTTATATACCTGCTACTTAACAGGTTATTTACCTAGTACTTAACAAGTTATATACCTGCTACTTAACAGGTTATTTACCTAGTACTTAACAAGTTATATACCTGCTACTTAACAGGTTATTTACCTAGTACTTAACAAGTTATATACCTGCTACTTAACAGGTTATTTACCTAGTACTTAACAAGTTATATACCTGCTACTTTAAAAGTTACGTACCTAGTACTTAACAAGTTATATACCTGCTACTTTAAAAGTTACGTACCTGGTACTTAACAAGTTATATACCTGCTACTTTAAAAGTTACGTACCTGGTACTTAACAAGTTATATACCTGCTACTTTAAAAGTTACGTACCTGGTACTTAACAAGTTATTTACCTAGTATTTATTAAGTTATATACCTGCTACTTAAAAAGTTACGCACCTGGTACTTAACAAGTTATATACCTGCTACTTAACAAG